AATACTGAAGTGAGACAGCACGAGCGCAAGATCATCTATGACGCATCCCATAGCGTTGCGTCTTTCCAACCTGGTGACAAGGTGCTGCTTTTGACACCAATTCGCACTCCTGGTCTCTATGACAAATTCCAACTGTGCTTCATCGGGCCATACATAATTTTCGTGTGACACCACTTGTCGTCTGAACAGACCGCCGTTACCGCAGCACTGAGGTTGTCCACATTTCTCGCATCAAACCTTTCATGCGATTTTACTTGTCACTATGACTTACGGCGGCCAAGGTGTCCGCTTCCAAGTGGGAGGAATTAGTGTGGGCGTTTGTTCTCATCCCTGAATGATCATAATCACCATCATCCGCTTGCCTCTTCCTCATGGCCACTCTGTGCCATCATCATCGTCATCGTCTGTGTACTGGCTCCGCCCGTTTGTTTTGCGAGGTCTTTTCTCAAATAAACGCTGTCGCAACCAAGACTACCAAGACTTTATAATATCTTATAAAACTGTGCTAGGGATGATACACATGTCATATATAAAGTGCTTCCGAACGTGCAGAGCACATATTTTGTCCCTAGTTTTCATGAATCGCTTACTCTCTGGAACTTGTTGATGCCCCTGTCCAATTACTGCAGATCAGATGTGGACGCTAAGAGCAAAATTTTCTCCCACTTTTTGCCACGACCAGATTTACAGCCGGCAAGAAAACACTTCTTTGCCTCCTGTCCCGTTGCAGTGTGCCTTCACACGTCACTGTAAAGGTGCCTCGTCTCTTTGAGCATGAGCATTCTGCTGATATATTATACAAAGGGCGTAACTCGACCAACGCTACCGCGAAGACGTCCATACAAGGAAAGCAAGTGTAACTATGCTCTGCCTTTTTTTTGTTCAGCACAGTTTCTTCGTCTGCTTTCTGTAACGATATGTAGCAATGTTTCGTGCGTATGTTGAAAAACCGGTTTGATGGTGTTATTTCTCATTTAATGATTTTCATGTACACATAGGTTCGTCTTTTTGTCATATTGTGAGAGCCGAGCAAACGGATTTCTAGCAGACTACACACTCCGCATACGCCGTGCCCGGCCACTATCATCTTCCCCCAATTCACGCAGGTGTTGAATGCCGAAAGAGCAAAGGAATGAGTTAGATCACTGTGTCTGCGTTTCCCAATTTGTCCCGTACAAAAGGGTGGGATGGCAGCGGAGTCGGTGCTCCTCTCTTGTCTTGCTCCGTGACATGACCAAGGCAACCTTTGCCAACATCTCCACCATTTTCACACAGCGCTACAGAATATACAGGTTTTTGTGAGTACCGGCTCAATGCTGTGTCTCACTTCATTGCAGCGTCGAACCATTCCAAATTGGCTGAGAAGGCTCACTGCACTCAAGTCACTCCGTCATCCGCGAGCAAGGTGTTGACGCCACCCATAAATACTGGGCCTGCCTACACTGTGGCTACTTCAGGTGGCAGCGTCATCCTCATTCCTGTCACTACACATGGCAAGCAACACTTCATTGTCGGCGATCCACCTGTTAGGATGGACTCGCGAACACCATCTGTTGTGCCACACACGGTTGTGTCCAATGCCTGTATGCCAAACAACACTCCCGGTTAGTGGCAATTTTTCCAGCTTTATGATAAGGATAGTAATTTTACCATATGCAGTCATCATTTGAGCTCATTTTCTAACCTTACTCGCAAATGTGTGCTCGGCAAACACTATAGAGACCTCGTATCTGGATTTGTGTCCCACTTGTGTGCCATACAATTTTGCCAAATACCAAGCCATAGCCAAATAAGGTACTGAGGGCAACTTTGGGAGCACAAAACTATAAAAAAAGCAAGTATTACGTGTCTCCTACATGACAGCTAAATAAATTTCATTGTAAATGTGCGGGGCTTGCAGAAACAGGGATCCGGAAAGAAGGGAGCAGTACCCTTTATTTTTGTTTTTACGAACACTGTATGATCAATGATATGAATATGTACCAACTACCTCTGTTGGGAATAGCAGTTTAAAAAATGCCTAATTTTTCACTAGAAGCATTTCCTTAGGTGATAGCTTTGTTGTTTAAATGTACTTTATATCAGGTCCTAAGTTTGTGGCCCAATATCTCTCTCGCTCTCTCCAAATACACATCAGACACATACAAAATGTGTCTAAAAAAAAAAAAAACTTCGCTTTAGAATGGGTGCTGACACCATTTTTTTGGAAGCGTGTTCACACTGTCATTCCTGTACAGAGAAATGTCTCTGAGCAAATGGGACACTCAGCAAATGCTGGCAAGATAGTTTATTTTGATAATAAAGTCTATCTTTTCGTGGTGCACTTATTGACAAAGATATTAGCTTGACGTTGGGATACAGTACGAATTTCGCTGACCATGCACAGCCATCTGGCCAGTTGTGATGACGTCAGGAACCAAAATTTTTAAAATGGCTGCTTGTGCATCGCCAATGAACCACTGAGAAAAGTGGCTGTGGGAATGTCACAGTATGTTGTGCGAGCACGCGACGAGAAGCTGATACCATTTGTTGACATCAGGGTAGAGTAGGAAACGAAACAGGCTTTTAAACCCACTTTATTTACATTGTCAGGGTGCACTCACAATTAGCAGTGCGATTGCAAGGCTCTTGAGGGTTCGGTGTTTCATTTGTAGCAAAAAACAACTGAAAATTATCATGCCATCACCCCTTTAACATCTTTAGTGCATATTGTACAATGTTCTTAGCAATTTCCCCACAAATGTGGTTCCCTCTATTTCGAATACACCATTCCCATCACTTTAATTTTTGCAAAAGCTTCCTGGAGCACATTTTCTTGGTTGGTGGGAAGGTCTGTGCTGTGGTTTGGGAAAGAGGATAAAGTCTTCTTGAGTTAAGTGCCTCAAGTGCAGTGCATTGTGGCATAATGGGAATGTGATTGTGCTAAATAGTAGCTTCAGACGAAATGTGGTGCACGAGCCAGCCTATTGCCAAAAGGCAACATGCAAGTGCGATTTTCTCACAATCAAGGTCTCACCATCTCTCAAATGTGATGGAATTTCCTGGTAGACTTTTTTGTTCACCATCTGACGACGTTGTGAAATTTCCTGATAAACAATGCCTTTGCACTAAAAACGATCACAGCCAGCATCACTTCCATTTTCGACCGACTTCTGTCCTTCTTTTTTGAACAGAGGGGCCCTTTGCCCAGCCCCGGTGACAAGCATCTTTGTTTCAACATCATAGCCATAAGCCCACGTCTTGTCTCTTATTATTTCAATCTTTGCAAAGTTTGTGTCAAAACTGCACACACACTCTCCCTCTCTTGTCATTTGAGCTCTTTCATTGTCACTTTGGTATGAATTCGATGAGCAGAATGACCACATGCTCCCTTCTGTTGCTATAGCTCGCCAGCTAAGGGTCAGAACTAAATGTGACAAATTGCAGTTGTTGTCGAAATCTGCCTCGGCACACGCTCCCTCTGCCACTTGGTAAGCTGTTTTAAAAGTTAGATTTCTTTTTGAACATGTCTCGTGTGTATCTGTGTCTAAAATGCAGATTTTTAGAGTACATAAAAGCAACGAGGCCATTTGTCTGCTAGGACCAGCGCTCGTGGAGTCTCTGAACATAATTTTCCGCATCGCAATTTTTATTTTTGTTATGAAAATTTTAGTGCTTGCTATAATAATGTTGCCTGTGCACGTAAGTTCGTATCAACGAGTCTTGCTTTTTTTGTATATGTAGTGGATTGGCTTTAATTGGTCATCACTTAGAAAAAATCACAAGTTAGATAGAAGGGAAAAGCAATGAGTGCAAGAGCAACAAATTAGGATGTTGTTTGAAGTAAGGCTAGCAGCCACTATGGCTTAGTAAGGCAGCTGCCCCTATGTAAGAAAGTGCACCCACTACAGCATCGTGATTTCCATCAATTGATTGGAAATGCAGCACATACAGACGTCCACTAATCTGCCTAAATAGTTTTTGTCAACAGGGACAAAGTTGACTAACGAATTTTTATTCATTAGATGATTTAGTGGGCTTTAACTGCAGCAAAGTATTCTTAAGAAAGTTCATGTACGAAGATGACAGGAATTCGTCGTAGGATATTTAATAATAAATTTCTTCATTGTACAAAAAACATCCCTTGCTAATTCACTGAAAAAAACCTCACTTGCCGATATTTGGAAGTAGAAAGAAGCCTTACAGATGGCACCAATTGTTTGACATGATATTTGTAGATTGAGTCTAAAATAGCCTCAATATTCATTATGCCAGAGCATCAGCATGCTGACTTCACAGCAGTCATTGTTCATGCAGCTCACTCATTCATAAAGTTGGGCTGTGAGGCACTATAGGCGGACACAACTTAAAAAAATCAGTGGAGGCCCTGCCCAGACGGCCGAAGTTCGACAGCCGGTCACCTCAGCGATTAAAGAAATAGTCGCGCTCTTGCTCTTGACAACATTCTTTGCAGGCGGGGTCAACGGCCATCTGGCTCGTGACATCAGTCTGGAGTACAAGCCCATTAGTGCAGGCTTGTGTGCATCCGCTTGTGAGGAGGAAATTACGCTGACTTTTAGAGTGGTAATAGACCATAGTTCCGTCAAACTGCATGGCAAGCATGTATTTCTGAAGTAAGAGAAGGCACTGTCATCTTAGAAAAATGTACAAGAATCTATCTTGCATAATTGCCTTGCATAATTGCCACTGAAATAAATCTTGTGCAACAAGCTTTGCTTAAAAAGAAAACACTAAGTGCGATGCTTGTGCCATCTTTTTTTTCTTTGCATTTCATGCGCAGCACACAGTATGAACACTTGTCTACTTTGGGTGCACTCTAAAGGATATCGGGTTGTGTTTTTATTGGTGTGCCAAAGACCCTTGCTCTCAGTCTTATTCACCAGCATGGCATCTGTACCACTGTTCCTCACATTTGGCCTGTGGAATGGACAAATAAATTGTACATGCCATTAAAAGAGAGCTATAGTGTAAAGTGAAATGCAATTGTTTTTGTCTTTCAGTTCTGCCTGCAGTTACGTGCGCTCACAACACCAGCCCTATCATTCTGGTGCCTGTGAGCAAACCGAACATGCTTCCTGTGCCCAACCCAATGTTTAGCTCAAGTAGCCAGATGCCAGTCATCTTGTCAGTTGAATCGCTTGCTCCTAATGCTTCATCTCCAGTCGGCCGGACATCGGGCTTGCCACCACTCATGGCTAAGTGAGTCGTTTATTTGCAGTGAGGCAGATTGTCTGCCTTGGTATTCCATTGCATATAATGCTTATTTAGTTCTGTTTGCCTGTTTTCTTCTCAATTCTAACATATCGCAGGACATGATGGAACAAGTGTGGCTATGTTAAATGAATGAGTGTGGCAAAAGCAGCTCTGGAATGCAGCTGATATGAAACAGATAATTTCGTAGGCATTGTCAAAGCCACTTGCCTTATATAGATTTATGCACGGCATGTTGCAAACTGCTTTCGTCACTGTCAATGCAACACACTGTGACGAGCTGGTTTTGATACACAGGGTATGCTGGGGTGCTGTGTGCTCAGCATTACTAAAACACTGAAAGCCAACATCTCAAGGGGCCCCTGTGCTAGCTTAGTGGCTAACATATTGTACTCTGCTAAACTCGTGATTATGTGTTCAATATCCAGCTACAGTGGCTGAATTTCAATAGAAGTGGAATGCAATGACACCTGTGTATTTAATATATTGGAGCACCTTAAAGAATCACTACTGGTCCAAAATAGCCCTTAGTTTCCTACGGTATGACACATTTTGTAATTATATTGTGCCACATGAAACCCGAAATTTTTCTTCTCGAGGTTCTATTGCAGCTTTGACTTCCCAGATAGGTGGCAGTGGTTTCTTCAGTCAGCACTGTGACTCGAGAATCTTGTGTTTGTATACTATGATAGTGAGGCTCGACCACTGTGTTGTTGCTGCATGGGCAGTGACCTTGTTGCCTGTAGTGACATTGTTTCACATTGTTTCCCTGCATGCGCAGGAATACAACTTATGAAAAGCTACAAGAAGAGGCAACGTCATTACGGCAGCAGACCGATGATTTGCGGCGCGAGGTGACCGAACTGTCTCGCCAAGCAGTGCGTGTCAAAGCATCGCTGGCGCGCCAATCAGAGCGGCTGAGCCGCTTTCTTCGGATGGACCAAGTTGAGTACCTGACGAAGCTTGCTGGTGACAAGCCCACTCAGTGGACTGAGCCGACATTGCACTTCGCCCTTGATATCTATCGTTGCTCGCCCGAGGCGTATCGCAAGTTACTAGTGGCCCACTATCCATTACCACTGGAGACAGCTTTGAGGGCATTCTGCATTGAGAAGGGAGTGCGTGAAGGTGTGCCTGCCGAATTATTGCAAATGGACATGCATCTTGAAGAAAATCAGGAGGATGAAGAGGAAAATGATAATGTGAACATTGTGTGGCTGTAAAATAACCATAGTGTTACGAGGAGGGAGGCCCCCAGCGGTCCTTCTGGGAAACAAAACGAAACGAAACGTGGATGAGGAAGCCTCCGACGTTAGATGCGCGGGCCTTTTATAGGTGCCGAGACGCTGAAGGAGGAGGGGGCAGCCCTGCTGTTCGACGCGCACAACGTCTCTCACGGACGCCCAGTGTCTGTGGCGGATGCACGCAGTGTTCGTGATGAACGCACTCATTGTCTCTGCAAGGGACGAAAGCACTGCACGACGTGAAACGCGTCCTACACCCTGCTGCTGGCCAGTCGTGAGGCATCTTTCAGGTAGTCTGGCTTCAGGTACAGCCTCTGGGAGCCTTACAGCTGTCGGGCCACAGCACGCTCGTAATAACCATAGACTGTCATCACTGGCTAGCTGCCGCAGGGAGGTGAATTCTCTTATAGTTTATCATGGAGAGTTATCCATAGAGAAGAAAAGGTGGCATAGAGTTGTGTTACTGTGCCCCGTCTCATTTCATATTTTTAAAAATCTAGGGGGGATGAAGAAAGGTTAATTTATTGAATATTGATATAGATATGTATGAAGGCCCATTCTGCAGCATTGTGTTAAATGGCTAGATCAGGCACCTTAAAGATTTTTAACCTTGTGAATGGAACTAAAAACATTTTAATTGAGAATACCTGTGCATTTATAGATTAAAGTCACATGGTAGGGTATACAGTGAGATGGTGTTAGTAATCAGTCTTTTGGTTGTTCTTGTGGTATATAGTTGTACTATTTGTTGTGTTTGTTGTCATTTATGAGCAGAAGTATTTCTGAAAAGAAAGTTTGCCTTGCTTGAAATGCAGGCTTTTTTTTTAATTTGAGTAACTCCCGAGTCTGTCTGAATCAAATAGCATTTAGAAGATTTCAAAGCTGTCGTTGCGTTTCCTTATCTTAATTTAACTTCCAAAGAGCATGGACACCTCTCACTGTGTGTGTGTGTTTGAAAGACAGAGAAAGTAGTGCAGTGTGACAGAGAAGACAAGCACAGTTCTGGGCAGTGCTTACTGATTATTTTACAGTGTATTCACACGTGCTTTCTTCATTCTCCAAGTTTTATGCAAATTAAATTTGTCAAATATTCCTGTAGCCTGGTGCCATTTGTAATGTGACAAATTTGTTCACTTTGGATACGTGCCAACATTAAGCTCAAAGAACGAGACCAGGGGCAGACAAAGCATATAATTATGACATTTCATCTCATGGCTGTTTAAGTGTCCATTCATTTCACTTGTGGGCCCGTTTTTTTTGTTCATCAAACTATGTTATATTTTAATGCAGGGGTCAGCAACCTTTTGAAGTGAGCGTGGCAGGGGCCGAACGGCTCTAGGGAAGGCCATTGCAAACAAGGAGAAAGAATTTGGCGAATTGACAACTTTGTTTGAAACTAGAGCAAGAATCTTGTTTAATTTTAAGCTGAAATTGAAATCATGTTTGTTAAATACTGAAAGAGCTTCTTCACTGCTGAGATCAGAAGTGACAATCAAGAGTGGAACATTACAGTGGAGATACATATGAAGAGACGAGTGGAGGAGGAGGGTTCTGATGTCGCACTGGGGACCGCGTCTTTGTGCCCTATAAGCTGCAACTTGCTGACCCCTGTGGTAATGTAATTAAAGGGCCACCTGATACAGGTAACAGCATTGTAAATATCACGAATTGGAAGCCAAGTAAGCAGACAAGTTTCTCTACACAAAATGTGTGCCACACAAGTGTTTAAGAAATTCAGCAACCACAAAAAAGAAAATTTACCAACAATAGTGACCAGAGAATTTCCATGGCTTCGCCTTACATATTTTCATTTTAAGGCCCTTCTTTTTTCTTTCTTCCAATTTTCATCATTGGCTTGGACATTACCATCAGCGACCACTCACTACAATAATGACAACAAAGGAAAAGTGCAGCGAAATTTCATTTGAAATAATTTGAGGGACCTTCTAAATTGACGAAAAGCCTTCTAAATTGAGACTTCGCTGGACTGAAACAGCTATGTTCTTGTTTGTTCTCACTAGCTACAGGAAACATCAGGTGTTCAAATGAAATTTCAATCCATCTTTTTTGTCATGTTGTTTATTTGCGCATAAATTTATGTTCATTGAGGATGTTGTGTAGAATCATCTTTTGGTCCACCTGTGCCTTTAGGACTGCAGTGGCCACGAATTGAGTTGCTGCATTGGTCAGCAAACTCACTCACGAGTCTACTCACTTAGACTCAGATAGGCTGATTGATTGATTTGTGGGGTTTAACGTCCCAAAACCACCATATGATTATAAAAGACGCCGTAGTGGAGGGCTCCGGAAATTTAGACCACCTGGGGTTCTTTAATGTGCACCCAAATCTGAGCACACGGGCCTACAACATTTCCGCCTCCATCGGAAATGCAGCCGCCGCAGCCGACTCAGATAGGCTGCGAGTCTGTGTCTATCTGAGTGAGTCCAAGAGAATATTTTGGCGACTTCGAGTCCAAGTGAGTTCGGTTATAGAAATCCGAACGAGTCCAAAGCGCAAAATGTATTTCTTGAGTGAATCTGGGTTAGCTGAACCTTTTATTGCCAATCTATGGTATTCTCTATTCTTTCGCAAGCCCCCCTCCTCCCCACATAAAAGAATAATGCGACAAGGTTTGGAAAAGGGGAGCGGGGCTTGCTCGGTCATGTATCACAATTTAAGATGGCTTCAGAAAAGCCACCAGAAATAATGAATGAACAACTGTGCTTCTAATGCGATCCTTTATTTATTAAATATGCATGCATTTAGAGTGTTCATTCACCTTTGCCAGGTTAACAAGGGCAGTGAATGAAACTGTGGAAATGGTTGGAGAAAAGGAGGGTGCGCATATTTGAAATCTCTCGAAGAAGGAAGGGGAGCACTTGCTCTGATAGGGGTGCCTGCTCTGGATTTTACGGTTCACTCAAGTCTATTCACGCACACCTCAACGCACTAGCGTTCGTGCACCATCTCGATATTTATTGATCGGAGGCGCGAGTTGGAAGGGCCTACCGTGGCTTCTCGCTGTAAACTATTTCACGAAAAGATTTTGATAAATATATCTTGAGTGAGTCGTGTATTTCATACAAGTTACTTTACTGGTTTAAAACCACTGCCAACTCATATTGCGAAGGTACAAGATTAATTGAAGTGTCATCACTCTCCAGTTATCTGAGTTACGACCGTTGCATAGCACTGACAGTTTGATCCAAAAATCTAATTTTACACTGACAGATTTGCGAATAGACTCATGCAGGCTGAGTGAGAAGCTGGTTGACCCGCGAGTCAGAGTCTGATGAGCCCGACTGAGTAATGTGCTGGCAAGTTTGAGTCCAGTTAAGAAAAGATTGAGTTAGTCTGACTGAGTTCGGTTGAAAAAATTTTAGAGAGTCTAAGTCCGAGTGAGCTCCAGTTGTTTTGCCGGCCAATTAGTGTGTCCAAGCTCTCGTTAACCTTCTCCAGCATATCACTCTGCTAGGCAGGAAAGAACTTCAGTTTGTCCAAGCGCCTCATTGTTTCTATGCAAAATATTCAGTTTTTTGTTAAGAAAGTTTGACATCTGTTTGGCGGCCATGATAACCAGTGCACAGTTGTATGGCAAAAGCTGCAGCTGTCACTGTGGCTCCAACTGACTTCGAATATATGCAGGCAGGCAGTCGCGTCAAAGGCAGTTGGGGCCAATTTTTTTTTGTTACGGGAAAATGCTACCTACTATTGTGGCCAATGTGATTAGCACTGGTGGCAGGGCTAATTGCTGAGGTCATGGTAGAACTGTACTGCAAAAGGTGTGATTTTAGTTGTTGATGTGAGCTACATGACCTGGGAGGCATTGGATGGTGTCACAGAATATGATAATAAAACTGAAATGTGCTATAAAAATTTTTTTAAAAAAGTGGAGTGAGTTCAACTTGGGTTCATTAGCGCTTGCATGTGGAATTTTAAACAAATTCATACAACTGAATGGCTTTCTCAACTGACGCTCATCGAAGTGGTACTTCACTGTATATCAAACTAAATAGGTCGGAGAATGCAACCGCTCCTCATCATTTAGCGACCACGTAAATTCAAGGTATTGGACAACTGTGTTGCCTCATGTTCTCTACAACCTGTGGTTTGCTGTGACTGCAACATGACAGAGATGGTGAATGATGGTTTGGCACTGACGACCTAGTGTCTGCTAAATGGTTTGTGGGTTCTTGCAAGACACGAAAGGGCATTGAGCTTGTACGTAATTGCTCGTAGAATGAAACACTACATAATACACGAGATAATTACACACTTCAGGCAGTGTGAAAAGAGAAGCAACACTGATTGTATTATCGGCGTAAAATGAAACTAGAACAGCCGCAAGCATTAGTAACCATATAGTGCACGCTGTTAAAGTCGTCTACATGAACGTACACAGTGCTGCCAAACTGGATAGCTGCGTGCTTGTGTATGGGAATGACTGGACAGTATGCACTACGTATGCCATTTGTAGTGCTTGCCACTGTTCAGGTTTCGTTTGCCACCGGTAGTATGCGAGCGTACCACAGGCCATTTGACCCTACCAGAAGGGGCATGTCGCCAGTAAGTAGGGTACACGAAAGTCATAGAAATTCAGAGGAGCTATAAGCTTGGCTTGTTGGTGTTGATTCATCTTCAAAAGTACACTTTGTAAATACGGGCACCGGATGGAAAAATGGTACAGGATACAACGAGTGCAAATGACTGGACGGCATGCACTCGTTGCTTCTTGTACTGATTTTTCCGGCCCGTGTCATTACGAAGCACACTTTTGAAGGGAAGATGTAGAAATTTAGATGGGCAGTAAGAGTATTCAGTTACACAAATTTACGTTAACTGTAAAAAAAAAGAACTAATTCTTTTTTCAAAATCACAACATGGTCGTAAACTATATTACATATACAACTCGATAGGCAATTACAGCTGCAGGGTGTGTTTCAGGTACATTAAAATAGGCTTGCCATCAAATGCAGCATTACAGTTGTTGCCATGTAAGAACTGATCCCATGGAATTTTATTGCATTGATAGCAGAAGGGAAGAGTTGGGCAAACTGACAAAGTAAATTTATCAGTTTTAGCAATGAAGATACATTACCTGAAGAACAAAGCAGTGCAAACAGTAAGCATGGAACAGCTCTTCAAGGCAATAACATTTGTAATCCACATTATGACTATAAATAGGGAAGACTTAAATAATTTGATGCAAAGGTTTCGGAGACAAAATTTAAAGCAAGTGTTGGAATAAATAAGAGCATAGCATTTACTTATAATCCAAAGCTAGCAATCCCCTCCCCCCCTTATGGTTGAAGTTAGAGAGGATTTGGTGGAAGGGTCCTTGTTCAGCGATGGATCGTAATTGAAGATGCCAGCGGAAGAATTGCTAATGAACAGTCATGCTTTTATTAAAATCCTTTATTGAATACTAGACTTACGCAAACACTTTTAATATTCTAACGAATATTACAGTATTTGAATTCTCTTCAATTCAAATCCAAATTGCTGGAAATTGCGAAGTGTTCAAAATGAACGATTAGATGTATATTAGCCCACATGTAATCCACCCCCCCCCCCCTTCCTGTGAAGGTAGTTTCAGTGCAGTATGTGAGTTCTATGCCGTAAAAACATTTACATGAGGGAAGTCTGCACTGCTGCAAAACTTCACTTCAATGTTAAATGAACATGTTACCCTCACATCAATTCATTTTGCAGGTTTAAAAGCTTGTTATATTGGCTTGTATGCTCTAATATAGCAAATTTTAAGAGTTGCATCCAGTTTCCTTGAACCAAGAAGAGTGACATTTGCACAAGCCTTGTGTCAATTAAACATATATATGTATTGTGTAGGTTAGTTAAGTTGTGACAAATGGGCTCATTTTTCTTTATAATATGTGATATATACAATTCGAATTAGATTTGAAAATATTCCAACCAAATTGCTATTTCCACAGGCCAATTGAATACGCATGCATTCACTGTTTTCATATTCCCTCATCGGTACATAAAAACAATTGATGAAACTGGGAGAATAAGGGGGAGAGAAAGTTGTACATGTAAAATCTCTTGAACAAGAGAGGGGGTTAATTGCTTAGGCTTTTGAGGCAATTGTAATTATAATGTAAATAATTATCTAATTATTGTGCAGTCAACCATGCTATATTTTCTTATAAATGAAATTGAACAACCCATTAAAATTACATGCAATAGTTGTGTGCTGGCAGTGAGCTTAACTAGAGTATAAATATGCAGATTGTTAATTGGGACTTCACTAGACTGGGAAAAATGTCCAAAGACCAAAATATCGAAAGTAGGAAGATAACAAACAAGTGTCTATTATCTCAAGTCTCTTTTATTTTTTGAAAAATTCATAAGCCCAGTACTTTACAAAAAAGTGGCAATTTTGTCATTCGCGATGTTGTTTACAATGTGACTGTGGTTCAAGATCCTTATGTCTCAAGTCATAATGTGTTGTGTGTCCCTCCTTTATTAAATGGCGCCACCACCCTTGCCCGTGACGATGACTATTTCTCTGAAAAAATAGCTGCTGCTCCTTGTTTGTCTATCACACTGCAGCTAGTGAGTTTTATGCCAGCTTACGAAACGTGGCTGGAGCTCTTATTTATTTATTTATTTATTTATTTATTGTGCCCTCAGGGCATACAGCATTATAGAGGGGAGTGGGTTTAGAAGACAAAAAATACAATTGAAACGTGAAAAACAAATCACATTCTGTACATGCGTACAACACTCGATGACAACGTGTAAATGATAACGCTTACACAATATAAAAAATCAAAATCAAACAAGGAAGCACCGCGACAAATAAAATACCGTAATGACGATCTAACACACAAAGAAAGTACTGAAAAAAAAAATTACAACATGGCACAACGTATCTGCGATACACAAGTGAACGGTAACCGAACAGCATCAAACAAAACCAGAAAAAAAAAATGCGTTGAGCACATCAATGCATAAAATTTTCGAGTGCGGCCTGAAAGCGTTCATGATTAGTAATCGTGACTAGTGACGCAGGCAGGTTGTTCCAATCATGGCAAGTT